AAAATAGAAAAGTAAGATTTAATCTTTCTTCACAGGATATATTCAAAAAAATGGCATGACACGGGTATATTATCAACATGAAGAAATCATTAAGGTACTATACTATTAACAAACTAACAAAAGTCAAATTTAATAATAGAATAATAGCTCAACAGTTCACAAAACCATGCTGTCATGCTTAGCAGTATTTTACGGATACTACTACTAATAGATGGTTTACAGAGAGAGGCATAAAAAATCTCAATATTTCTCTTGCTGTCTTGACTGAGTCTCACACTGTGGTGTAGGCTTGGCCTTGAATTCCTATGACTACTTCTGCATTACTTTCTTTACCATCCTGACTCCTAGAAACCTACCCAGCTCTCTTGGAACAAAACCCTGTAAATCACTCAATTAGTGGAAATGATTCTCACATCCTGATTAGGGACAAAAGAATATTTGCATTAAGCCTTCACTACAATGAGTTTCTCCTTTGGAGCGAGATTACTCAGAAAGATTACAAACGAAAAAGGTCAGTTTTTAATCATTTGAGATTGCCTATTTGCAAGACAACACTCCAGACTAGGAAATATCAGTTGCCGTTCTCTACGCGAACCCGCCAAGTCATTGAGATGCGCACAAAGCGCTCCTGACTTAGTAAAGACATTTGAGCTTCAGTTTATGAGCTAGTGAAAGATATTCAAATGATAACTGATCTCTTCTCATCAGCAAGGTACAGAAAGTATATTTTAAATAGTAAAAGCAGCAATCTGCATCAGTGAGTCCCATTATAAAAATCATTCTGTTAATGCTATAAAAATAAAGAAATATCCTTGCATGGGCAGACTTTGCTTCTGCTTTTGTGATCTTAGCCATTTCTCCTTGATTTACGTGTCTAACTGAACTCATGATTTTGGACTTCAAAGATGGTCTTGCTCTTGACTTCTGTATGAATGTTCAAGTCATTTTAATCAGCCATGCTTGAAATTTCTGTCATTATTAAGGCACACATCTCTTCTGCCCTTTATATTCATTTGCTGGGGCTGATATAGTTCACATCCAGTCTTCCTTACTCTCTCATCTATACCCTCCATTTAGTTCCTACCCTAAAGTTCCTCTTGCTGCCGTAGACACCTGCATACTTTTTATATCAAATTCCCTAATGTTTAACCCTATAAGGTCTAATCAGTCTATTTATATTTTTTAAAGTACCATGTATAATCAGGTCAATTGTTCCTTTTTCCCTATAGAAGAATGCTTACTTTTATATGTGTGGATAAACTATTCCTGGCTTGCAGGAAATCAAATAAATCATCTAAATCTGTTTTATTTGACATGTTATTAAACAACAAAATCTATTCTGGTACACACAGTTCTACCACACTTATACAGAACTAGAAGCCTCCAAAAAGTCATCAGTCAGTTCTTCTTCTATCTGACTCCAAATTCTCTGCAACTTTTAGAGAGGTCATGGAAGACATTTTATCATTTCCCATCATAGAGAGAATCTACAGAAAATCTTCAACTATTTTAGTGACTCTTTAAAATAAACGTGTCAGTATTAACTTGAAAGCACACAGGAGGGTTTCTATCGTTTTCGTTGGTGCTGCCGCTGTTGTTTTGTTTTTTTCTCAAAGCCTAGCAATAATCCACACCAAATAACACACGCTTTCCAAAAAAGAGACAAAGCCTTCTTCTGACATTCAGAAAAATCCTTCCAACCATTTGTTTTTCGAGAGACGGTCTCACTATGTTGTAAACCCCTGGCTGTCCTGGAACTAGCACTGTAGATCAGAGTGGCCTGAAACTCTCACATGCCTCTGCCTCCCGAGTGCGGGGATAAAATGCATGTGCCAGCACTGCCCAGCCTTCCCACCATTCTTGACTGTAGAAATAACTGTATTTCTACCTTTAAACCTACAAACAGCATATATCTCGTATGCTTAGGAAAAATACTTCATGGTCTTAGTTTCAGTTTACAATGTAATTGCTATGCTTTATAGTTTCAAGTCATGTTGACAGAACAATCACAATGAATGAAAGGATAAACTGGACATATGACTGAAGTATTTATATTTTGAATATATTAAATACAAATAGTCAAGTGAAACCTTTCCTAAACTTAGTATTTTCATTTCACAATGGGAATTCTGAGGTTCATGTATGGTCTGTAAATTACTCACACAGGTCTTTTGCAAAACAGTATGAAACAGAACCCATTTTCTTATAAATGTATGACTTGTATAAAACATAGAATCTGTCCTGTGGACTCACAAAGACAAACCCAAACAACGATAGAGGATACTGTTCAACTATGTAAATTACAATAAAGTAAAATAGGAATGTCATTTTTAAAAAGCCCTTAGGGAATATATAAAGTAATAGAAGTCACCAAATAGAAAGGAACAACATGTGTAAAAGAAAGAAAGAGCTACAGGAATTCCAGTAAGGTATCTGGTGGAAATGGGAGGTGGTTTGCGGAATCAGAATTAAGAAAGGCTTTATGCAAAAGCTGTGGAGTGAATATGGGCAAAATATTCATAAAGCCAGAATCAGTATGACCTGAGGATGAGGTCGTAGCTATGTTCCAATAATAGGCAGCTTTCAGGTTTGCTTTTTTGAGGTAAACTTTATAAATTAGAAAAATGAAAAGCAACAGCAATGGTTAAAAAAAAGTAAGCAGCAGGGCCTCAAATGCTATTATTATTTCAGCTTGCAATCAGTGTTAGAGAAGCAAAAGAGAAAAGGCCATGCAGACCTACTTCATTCTATATTCCATTTTTCCAATTTCATTCTGGCTTTTCCAACACTCATTTGTAAACTAATGTTAAAATCTCTAAGTAATCACAATACTTAAATTAAAGGTTATATGAGAATTCTACTGTCCATAGCACCTCTATGAAATTTCTACCTGCCTATTTTATCAGTAAAAATACTCCTCCCAACTTTTGATGATCAATGATCCCATGTCACATAAGCCCTTTGAAGCTGTCTTTTAACCAGGGATATTTTATATATTGTTTGTTCATCTCTCTCTTTAGCTGCAAAAAAGTAAAATAAAATAGGACAAAACAAATCTCCATAATGCATCCCTCCTGTCTCAACTTTAAATTAAACCTTCCTCATTTCCTGTATAAGGGATTATGATAGTTTACTCTCTTGGCAACAGAAATTGACAGTTCAAATGGGCAGAAAATGGCCATGAAAGAAGACACACTCTGGATCTATACATAGCACGTATCTCAAAGCATCACCTTTCAAAACACTCTGGGACCTATGGACAGCTACTGGTCTCTCCCTCTGCTGGAACAATACAGTCTCTTAAGGGCCCTCTATCTGTCCTATATACTTGTCTGCTGTCATCTGTCTTCTTCCCCTTTAGATTCAGTTTCCTGAAAGAAAAATTTGTGTTTATTGGCAAAAGAAGTCAAGGAAGAGCTTTATTCTGAAATGTTAAAAATATAGTAGGGGATGGAAAGAAAGACTGACATGGGAGAGCTTCTTCCTGCAACATGAAAGTTAATCAAGATGAATACTTAGAAGTACTTGCTGGGGCCGGGCGTTGGTGGCGCACGCCTTTAATCCCAGCACTCGGGAGGCAGAGGCAGGCGGATCTCTGTGAGTTCGAGACCAGCCTGGACTACCAAGCGAGTTCCAGGACAGCCTCCAAAGCCACAGAGAAACCCTGTCTCAAAAAACCAAAAAAAAAAAAAAAAGAAGTACTTGCTGGGCCACCAACAAAGAAAAGAATATTCTAGTTAAAAGCTAATATATGCTTGATTTAGAAAGATTCAAGAAGAAATGACTTTAGTAATCGTCAAGGGTACCTGTCAGGATAAACACAGGAACACAGCTAAAGATAACATTTTTAAAAGGAGGCCTAAGATCAGAGAGATAGCTCAGTGGCCTGACAATGTGAGTGAAACCCCCATGGTGGAAGGAGAAAACTGACTGGAGGGATTTGTCCTCTGACCATCCATACATATGCCATGGCACATGTACACATACACACACAAGTAAATATAATAGTTTACTGATGCAGAAATGAGAATGTAAAGGGAAATGGGAAGCCTTTTGAAGCTTTTAAGGGGGATAGCAACATATTCCTAGTAACCATATGCAACATCTCCCATGGAGAAAGAGGAAAGGAGGGAATAAGTAATGAACTTTTACAGGCACAGTAAACACATTCACTATGCTAAATTCATCATTTCTCTGTGATTTTAAAGATGCTTCATATACTATGTTCTCCAAATAAATGATATATACTCAAGGAGACAAAGTAATTACAAACACCTCTAAAATACAATGAAGGGAATATCCATCTTGTGATATTACAACTACTATACCGTAAGCATATATTCTTTAAATGATAGCACCAACAAGAACCTGAAAACGTAAGCTGAAAATTTCAACTTACCTACTTAATATCTGTAGTTCATGGAAAAATTACTCATCAAATGTCAGAGCCAATATATATCATCCTACAAAACCAGGTCTTCAGGTCTCCTAACTGCATAGTATGGGTTGATATGAACACACACACACACACACACACACACACACACACACACACACACACACACACACACACACACACACATAAATGATGCCAAAACCAAAGTAAGACATTAAAATAAGAATTTGGAATTTGTGTAAACAGAATACCAATATTTTAGGAATACCCACACAATACACAAACACTCCGATACTAAGAAACTGACATATACTATACAAGTTACCTAAAATGACAAACATGTGATTCTCCAAGGGAAAAGAAAAAAACAGAAAAAAAAGCTCCAAGAACACCTAGGCATATTCTAGTTCTAAAACATATTCCAAAACCGTAAGAAAATACTTACCCTAGCTAAATTTTAATCACTTGATCTCAATATTTATCTTAACATTTGGGAAAAATATATATCAAACAAAAAACTGAACATTAATTACTGCATGCAAAAGTCATAAATCTCTGAAACACAAATTTAGTACTAAAGGTAAAACACATCTTTTGTACTTACCGTAACTTTACTTCCAACTATCTGCATGCAGTGGTCAGCGGAGAATGGTTATGGTGTGAAAAAAAACAAACAGCAATAATATTAGTAATCAGGAGCTTTGACAGAAGTTAAGGGTTTAGTAAATTAGTCACTGATCTATTCTAATAACACATTTAAAACAAGATACCAATATTAATGTGTGCCATTTCAAATATATAGTCTACACATAGAGAAAAATGATCATGATAGTGTGGAATTTTTTAAAATCTGCACTCTAACAGGTTTTCCATGCATTAAAATCTAAATATAAAATATAACTGCAATATACACTCAGACATTTTCCCTATTCACAGCCAGTCAAAGAAATTATCAGCAGAAACTTTTTTCCAAATATTGCTCTCATTTTCTTTCCTAGCTATGGCAAATATAGAGGTAAGGTCAGAGTAAGTGATTTTAAAATACACTTTTAAGTCATATCAAGTTCTGAAATGAACTTTACTTGAAAGATTAATATTTCATATTGTTCTAAATTTAAAATCTACAATGTCATTTTAACTTATGCTTTTAAATTATAAGACAAATTTCTTATTTTTTTCTGGGTCATCCTACCGTTCTAAGTACGATGTCAGACTTTTCTATATGATGTGAGAACAAACAATGTATTTTATCCATAAAAATGCACATATTAATATGGAGGAAACAGATCAGAAACTTCAAAAGATGAGATCATTTCTGAGAGGCAGGATTGTGTTTAAGAAAACAAGAGGAAACTCCCAACATAAACATACTCTTATGTAAGCCAGGCATTAGTGACTCACGCTTTTAATCCCAGCACTCGGGAGGCAGAGACAGGCAGATCTCTGTGAGTTTGAGACCAGCCTGGTCTACAAGAGCTAGCTCCAGGACAGCCTCCATAGTCACAAAGAATCCCTGTCTCAAAAAACAAAACAAAAAAAATACTCTTATGCCAAAATCCAAATATAAGTCCAATCACTGTTATCAGACTCCCACACTTGAATATTAAGAATTAATATTAAGAATATTAAGAATTAATATTTAAAATTAAGAGTTAATTCACCATTCATGTGATAACAATAATGTTGTATTTTTCAGCCAGTGCTTTTAAAACAAACATCAAATTTAACTGAAAGCCAAGTAAGTATCCTCAGCTGAGTAAAATACTACAAGATACAAAAAGATAATGGTGGCTGTAAATGATTTCAGAGGAAACAACGAGTCTCCAAATAAAGAAGCAAGTTCCTTAAAAATTTATTCAACACACTGTTTACAAGCAGTGAATATTTAGATGAATAAAAGCTTCTTTGGTGCCACCACCAGTCCTCTGAAATGAAAGATATGCTATTGACCTAAATTATTTCCTCCCACCAAAGAAGACAGAGATTGTATTTGTCCTCTGTTTCCTTAGCACAGACATGAGACCAAAAGGAAAGAATGAGAGCCTGTGTTAACAATTAAGTCAGGTTCATAGTGAAACAACTAAAATGTGCCCATTGAGGGTCTGTTTTAATGGTTTGTTCAGATTGCAAAATGATTTCATTTAGCTAAAGCACATTCAGAAATATATTAGATTGATTAGTTAAGAAAAGCAAGGAGAAAATAGTTTGGTCATATCTGGGCTCAACTGTTTCTCATTATCCAGTCCATGGATGAAAAGGACCTGAGGAAAAAGTAACTGACAATGGCAACAACACAGCCACAATAAATACATACATATTGACATGTGCACCACAGCTCTCATCTACTTGTTTCATTGGTTAGGTCTACAAATCTGACATATAATTGATCTAATGATGTTGGATTATGTACCATTGAGGGTTTGGGGGAAACAATAATACCTCTGAATGCATCACATGTTGTCAAAACTGTAATCTGACATGTTCTGAAATCTAAATTTCAAAAGGAATGATTAAAACTAGAAGTAAACTGCTTTCTTCATATTGCAATAAGGACAATGGTGTGCGAATCACTAACATTAGGACTCTGGTGGATATCGTTTCCTCATAAATGTCTGCATATGCTCTTAGGAGTATGCAAGATCTTCTCTAAATCACAAGCACAGTGTGCCTCTTTCTGGGTCATGAATCAGTTACAATACCAACAGCTTGTTTTCCAGTTCTGCAATGGCACTTTGAAACTGTACAATATTATTTGTTATTTGTAACTAAATAATCCATATAGGCTAATACTCCTTCAGGGTAGGCCTAGAATGGTACCTCCTACAATAGCAAGTGTTTGGCTCCCAGAGCAATAAAAGCACACTAGGTTCTTCACATACCTATATAAAGTTCACTCATCACTGGGTTACTCAATCTATTATTACTTTAGTATACACAAGTGTCTATTATAGAACTTTACAATAAGTGTGCAGGGATGACCAAACAATAGTTTTACAACATTGACTTGTGCTTTCCTTAATATCCTCCTATCCACTACTAATTGTAACAAAAATTAATGATGCAGCACCAGACTTGTTTGTTTTAGAAACAAGTTCTGACACATAACTGTGTGTTGCTTCCTCATCTTTTAATGCCCTTTCCTAGAACATGATGATGGCTATTCCTCAATAAGCTCACCTTTTCATTATTTAAATTCCACATAAAAGAACAATGCAGTTAGTTAAACGAGAAAACAATTTTACATTAAAATTTAACTACAGTACTCCCATATCTTACTTGTGACTATGGAACATTTTTACATTTTAACACTGGTTCTACTCTCAGGTGAGATCTTTGATTACCTACAAAGCCTTTTTATCATACGATAGGCATCATTATATCTGCATTAAATGAAGAAACATACTTAATGAGTATACAAATACAACAAAAAAGTAAAAAATGTACAAGGCAGGCAAAGCATATTTAACACCTTATGGAAGCCAAACAGAAGGGCAGGAACCTAAGTTCCACACAGGCAACAGACACACATTCTGTGATAATTGGTGCAAAATTGACTGTCATGACGAGGAACAGGTGAAAGCATTGTTTCACATTGAATGCTGTTATTCATTGAATGACATCCCTCTTATCTTTAAAAGGAAATTACACAAACAACTTTTGTAGTTTTAATGATAGAAAACAGTACTAATTAATGTCTCTTCAAGGTGAAAAAGCTTCAAACACTGCTTGTCAACAGGCTCTCTTCCATCAAAACATTTAGCCCATGAAAAATAACAGCAAAAACTATAATCTTGGAATTCTTGTGAAAGAAGAAGAGCTAACAAGTACGCTGAATGACACAAATAAGGGCCATCCAGTCAGTAGTACTAATTTTGTGGCTACTTAAAATGGAAAATTTCATGTCTTGGAAGAAATAGCTATCATTTTAATAAAGCAGTTAAAATAAGTTCCTATCTAGCCTCCTCCCTTCCTCCACCTTGCTGCATCTCCTCCTCCCAATCCCTCTCCGGTGCTAGATGGAATTCGCAGCCTTAATAGGTTAGGCAGGTGCACTTCATGCTAAGCTAGAGCTTCAGCCAACTGTTTCTTCATTTCAATACGAAAATTAGCATAAAAATTAACAATGTACATTTATTTGGTGGGTTAAAGAAAACATAATATGAACATAAATCAAAATATGTTGTGCATAGATAACGAGTAATTATCCAAAGGTCAAGGAATGAGAATGTCATTATAGTCAGTCCCACTTACCCAAAAACACCAACAAATGAGTCAGAGATGCTAACAAATTCCATCATTAAAACACCACAACATTAGTCATATATTATCTCCACTTTGTACTCAGATCTAGATACATATACATATTTGCTAGTATGCTTGCCTTTAAGCATTTGAAAGACAACACTGAATATACATCCTGAAATTTCTTAAAGCATTTTACCGAGAACAATAACTTGAGTGCAAAAATGAGAAGAGATTCATCAGAATTTCAAAGTAAAAACCCTATGCATCACCTAATTCTATTGAAAACGATGCTCATGGCAAATTTCACTTATCACTTGAAACATATTTCTGCCCTTGGATACCAGAACCATATTAAAAAACATGCTGTTGCTCGGCTCTGGCAGAGCTGCAATGCATTATGTTTAAATAGTTCAGCATTCACATTTAGCTTGCCTAAAGTACAATATAGAATCAATGCAATTACAAAATTCAGGAGTTGCTACTGGAATTAGTGTACTAAAAAGTATGAATGACATAATCAAATGATGCTAGAATGTACTTTCACAGTTAAGGACATTTTCTTCATTGGTCAATGTTTTAAACTGAAGATACTTTGTCTTAAATGCCATGTGTACAAATACAGATACGTAACATATTCATATTCCTACATATAAATTATGGATATATATGAATGTATGTATATACACACATGCAGACTGTGATTTTTTTGAAATCTGGACATATAAAGCTCCTTATAGAAATACAAGAGATATATTTTGTCAAATCAAAACTATATTTTCTGCTACAAAAAATATCAAATCTGAAGGCTACTTATCAAAGAGCCTTAGAAGGGTAACAAGAAAAAGATTAAACAATTCTATTAAAGCAATTAAGTTTTTCTTGCTGAAAATAAATTCTTTCAATGAAACAAACGTTTAGATTTTGAAATTCATACAGATATGATTAAAGTTCCTGGTGTGTGCTTTCTTTTATACTAAGGTGAGCTTTACCACACCAGTTATAAGGTAGCTTACACAGATTACACTCAAAACAGCAAAGCAAACTATGAAAAACATTGCTAACAATTACATGCTTCGATGTAAACTTAATTAAAGGTGGCTGGGCTGCTTGTGTTTGCTCCCTTAAAATCTTAAATCTTCATGTAGCAATCTGTATAGTAGGTGGAATACCAGCAAAACACTGCAAATTTTTAGTGACTGCATAAAACCTCTGCCCTGAAATTCACTGAATTCAAACAAGAGATTTCCATATTGGTCTCTTGATTATAATAATGGATCTCTCATGTCTAATGAACAGTTCAGTACTGAGATATATATGCAAAATATGTAAAAATGTACATGTGTCATTTCCTTAATTGGCAATATGAGTGCACTGAGGCAATAATTTAAAGATCTGAGGTTTGTTAACTTTTAGGCAAACAGCTAAGCTCATTCTGTTGGTGCCTGGATAATGTCCCCACTTACAGATTTGGCAGTAGCAGAAATATACTGGACAACCATCTCGCGCTTGGTAGTAAAATCCTTGTTTCGTAAAGGAGCCTTCTTTTCTTCGTTAAGGTTCATATCCTCCTGTTAGAAAGAACATCTACTGTGAGGATGGATGAATTGTTGCTTAAGTTTCACAAAAGTGATTAATGCAATTAGTATTTAACAACAAATATTTTTGGATATATCACTATTATTTAGTACCTGAGATACCATAATTTTGTGTGTATTTCACATGTATTCATGATTCACATTTCTCCCTAGCTAAACTGTGAGAAGAAGAAAAATATTTTTAAACTACGTTATGGAATACTTTCTGTTTCTTAACATAGATGGGCTTTGTATAGTCCTAGCAAAACTATTCATTCATTCACTTATCTCTATAGCAAACACACACACACACACACACACACACACACACACACACACACACACACACACACCCTCCCTCTCTTCCTCCTCCTCTTTGGTCCATGCTTCCCAAGGACCACTGTTACCCAAGAAAATATATGTGATAGGCAAATTTAACAGGAGATACATGAAAAACAAAAAAAAGAGGTAATCTAGGTGATTGTGTCTATGTCTCTCTCTCTATCTCTATCTCTCTGAGGAACAGGGCAAAAACTAACAACTATACACATGCTTTATTATGAAACTTCACACATGTATAAAATACACTTTGATCGTGTTATTCCCCCTTTGTCATTTCTTATCTCTACACCTGTTCCTACAAACCATTTACTCTTATAAAATATTCCCCTCCTACTATTGTAGTTGGCAGAAAACTCACTCATTACTTACCCGTTTGTGTGCAGTTTAATTTTTGTTTATGTTTTCCTTATAGAGGTAGATATAAAATACATTCAGGAAAAATTTTAAAACTATTGAAGTCAAAAGACATTTACTTTTTAATGTCTTCTCTCCTTTTAAAATTAGAATCACTTATTTATTCAACATATACATAAGGAACTGTGCTAGGCTGTTAACACTGAAAAGTTGATAAACTGCTTTTATGCTCAAATTAAATGGTATTATTTATGAAGCAATGACTGTTGGTTATATATGTTGTTGACTAAAGAAACATAACTAATTCATGATCTAATAGGTACAAGTAATTATAATGGAGGCATGCACAAGATCTCTTGAAAACATAAGACAGATGGTAAGTAAAAAGGTCAGCAAAGATTTAGCCTGGGTTTGAGTTATGATGAATGAGAAAAATCTGACTAACAGCCAGGAGACCGGTTAAGAGATTCTAGTGGTCATCTGTCATTTTTGGCTGCCCAACACCATTTAAACACGCCTTCTACATTTTCATGCGTTCTCACATTGTCAATTTCAGTTTAAAAATGACTCCATACAAACTGCATTTGTCTGTTTCCCTTATATATAATTTCAGGATAGACATGTGGCTTAGTCTTCAACAATGAAAATGCATTTATAAAAGGTACAGACTCAGAAATAAACTATGTGAAGAAATAGGCCATGAACAGGTCATCCATCTTGCTGGTGTGGGTGGCAAAAGAGATGACGTAGACAGGGAGCTGATGGCAGCAGCGACATATTTTTTACTTAGACAGACCAATTGGTTCTGGAGTGGCAACAGCCCCTTAATCAGACTATATTTCACTATGTGGCTCTGCAAGCAATAACTATAATGCCATCTGGAGTCTGTTGTTGCAACATTTATGATTGAAGAGAAAACTAATATCTCTTAATACTTAGCCTACTTTTTAAAATCTAGAATAGGTATTTTTCCGCTCAAAAATATAAGATACTGAAGCCTTTCAAATGAATACTTTAATTTTCAAACTAAAGAGGATGGTAGCAGGATTGAAGGAAATTAATTATGAACCATGCAAATATTTTTGGAAGTCTGCATTTTCTCAGGCTAAAATATACATACCAGTTTCAATTTATGTTCATGTGATATCACTTAGAATCTGTCTCTACCACTCTCAAATACTCTGAGGCTTCTCCTTAACCTTGAAATAATATATATCTATTCATTCGACCTTGGATTTTACAGTGTCATTGGCTAAGCACATCATTCCATAGCCTCATATTGTTCTTATTTTCATCAACATTCCTATGTTCTCTCTACCAGTACTGCCTCAAACATTCTGATGAAACTTCTGTCTGAAATCAAAGTAGTTACAACAAATCTACATCTCCCAAGTACAATCAACTGTACAACTGTCAGAATTTTCTGAGTTTGTAAACTTCCCAACATAGCCAAAAAGGGTAGTAGTGTCATCTCTCCTTCGATAGTTCTGCAGTGGTACCTCCATTTGATCTTTAATGAAATGTACTGTAGTTGTCAGGCAATCAAAAAATGGTGTTGTCAGAATAACAGGCAAGACTGTAAGAGGAGTGTAAGATTATAAACCTCAGAGAATGTTGTCAAAATTGAGTGTGATCATACATATCAAATCTGGTGTACATTAACCAGTTCCCACAAAATGATATCTACCACTAATGTAATCAATTCCTCACCCTCGTTTTGAGAACTTCTTCCTGTTTAATCCTTTATGCTTCAATACCAAGTCGGCAATGATTGTTCCATAGACTGTGCTGTTCCCTACTTCCCACTGTTGTTTATATGATACTGCTCCCTCTGCCACTTCTCATTCTGGAAGCTGCTGCTACCCACTAAATCTGCATCTGGCCAGTTCTTATACTTTAAACCATGCTCATCCACTAAATATTCCATAATATTTTCGGGAATGCCCCATCTCAAAATGGAAACCTTCAGCCTGTTCTTCTATACTAATTTCATTTATAATTAATAATTTGTCATAGAATTATCACCATGAAAATCTAAGGTAACTAAAGAAAGGGACTCACTTAGCTTTGCAATCCCAGTTAAGTTCCTAGTCCCTGGAATACAGTAAGCCCTTACTCAAATTTTTTGAGCCTGGGTGATATCTGGAGAGTTTTCTCTAAATATTGTAAGTTGCCTCAGAAACATCAGCATTTTTTTCACTTATGAAATGGCTGCCTACATTGTTTAGGAATGGGTAACGTTCATATGAACAGAAGAGTCTATAATGACTCATTTCACTCTTATATGAATAAAAATACTACTAATTATGCAGCTGATACTTCCAAATCATTAACTCCAGCTTTATAATATAATAATAAAACTAAATAGAACAATCTCAATATTAACTCTAAACAACATAATTGAATATGAAACTACTTCTGAACACAAACTTCTTTTGATACTCAAAACACAAAGCAAGTTTTAAGCATATTTCATGTTTGTTTAATGTATCCACAATATATGAAGAATGTAGTATTAAAAATAATGTTGAAGTTTAAATACCTGACCACATAGAATAGTTTTCAGGTAAGCCATATTTGCAAACTTCAACACAAATAATAAAAAGCTAGGGACAAATATTGGGGTTCAAGCTGAAGATTACAGAAGCAAAGAAACCAAGCCACATCATCACTTTCCTGTTTTCACATATCATACAGTTATCTCTCTCTGGGCACATTCTTTACTTCATCAAACATTATTTGTTTATATTGTTTTGCTTTTATTTCATTCATTTATTTATTTATTTTGGTGCTGGGCTTGAACCCAGAAACTCATACATATGCAGCAATGCTATATCACTGGCCTACACCTATAACCCCAAACACCGTACCACTAAAGTGATACAGAAGGAACTATATAAAAATAGTCAGATTAGAAAGTTAAAAGTTGCACCAGCTAAATATTACTTTATTTAATTATTCTTTCTTTCTTTCTCATCTCTCCCTGGTTTTCTCTTTTCTCTACCTCCAAATCTAAGATTAGAGAGATACGAACACTTTATGGAAAATAAAGTGATGGCACTCGAGTACCTGAAACACACAAGTGTCAATAATGCATGCAATTATTTTTGAGGTTTTGCATTTTAAAATTAGTGGCCAGTTAACCTGGCACTTATCAACTGCCTCAAGTTTTCAAAAAAATTGAATAACTCTGTTAAACTATATAGACCATAGCCAAATAACATATAAGAGCTCAGGTAGAAAAACAAAGTCAAGTGAATACATTGAAAAGATAGTACTTCTGAATACAGAATGAGGCTAAAGGCAAAGGTATACATAATATTAAGTAAATATTACTAAGATTCATACACAACCCTCTCATATATTTCTTTTTTCAAGGTCCTGTCAGAGGCCTCCACCCAAAATCATATATTTTAATATAAGAAGCATAACTAGAGTTTCCACTGTTTAATAATTGCTAATTCTGAGTACAATTTTCAACCAATGTTTCTAGAGTAGACAGATTACATAATATACAAACGAAGGTTGAAAAACAGCAATCATTCAAAAGATTAAAGAAAATAAGATTTACTAATACCAGAGAATATACACTAGATTCTTCTTTGGATCCATAGGTTGAATGGTACCTGAAGTGGTTTAAAGGAGCAGTGAAATATACATAATGCAGATTTCTTTGCAGGCAGTGCACTACACTTAATGTTAGGTATATTTACTGTTTATGTGATCAAGTTTTAACCAAATAGGCCCCTCAGAAAACGGAAACTCAGCTCTAAGTGACTCCTATAAAGACAATAGATTGAAGATAATAGGATAATACCAATGATGCAAGCCCAAGGGAACAAGAAAATAGGTGACTGTTAAATATCTTCTTCATAATTCTGTGTATTTTATCCATTATCACATAGTAAAAATAACAAAAATCTAACTAGCAAACTGTCTCCTCAAGACAGAAATGATTAAAGTAATCATTTGAAATACAGTCACCTATCAATCATGATAATGACCCCCAATTCATGTGCATATTATACTTAAAATATTAGTTAATGGTAGCAAAAAAATCACTTCAAATTAACGAACCATTTAAATTCTAGCAGCCAGAGCATGAAGACAGCGTCTCCAATTTTCCCAGAAATAATTAGAATTACATGACCTTAATCCTGTACCTTAGTGATAGTGTGTAAACTTAATGGCACATGTTCATATGCCTCTTTTGAATTTTCTTAATAGCATGAAACAAAAGGCCACACAGCAGTTTGAAAACACTTAGTAAAAGCAGCTGAAATAAGAAATGCAAAACA